GTTGGGATTATTTCAGGCGTCGGTGGCGAACATGCATGGGTCAAAGCGTTTACTTTTTTGAGAGGGAAGAAAAAAAGGGAAGGGAGGGGGAGGGGTGGAAACCCTAGAAGCGAGGCTGGGAGGATAAGGTTGTCATGAGCAGAAGTTTGTATGTTTACAATCAAGTGGATATTACTTTTTGGCGGAAAAACTCCCGATTTATTCATCCACTAGTAGAAAAAGGGTCTAATGTGCAGCTCATTAGTCCCGGTTTGAAACTGAACCGGCACTAATGTGACCATTAGTGCGGTTCCAACGGCTAGGCGGTCCGCTCTCTTTAGTACCGGTTCGTGCGGAACCTTTAGCACCGGTTCGTGCCAAGAACCGGTACTAAAGGGTGTGGTGGTAGGATGTTGTCAGACTGGGGCCCATCCAGCACCTTTAGTACCGGTTCTTGCCACGAACCGGTACTATAGGTCATCCTGCATATAAACCCTTCGTCCAGCTCGCTCTGTTCTTCCCCCTTTCCCCTCTCCTCCTTTCTGTTGTTCCTCTTCTCCCCTCGAGCTCATCACACATTTTGCCCAAATTTTGTCAAGATTTGAAGGCCCCCATCCATTCAAGTGATCACAAAGGTTAGCAACTTTGTTCTTTCATCTCTCATTGCTAGATTAGCTCTTGCAATGCTTTATATAGTGATTAATTTGTGGGTTTTAGTAATTTGGGAGGAATTATATGTGGTAGTATATTTGATTTATATGCAATTTGAGCTTAAAATAACTCTTTGTTTGCATATGTAGGTGTGGTTTACTTAGTGCCTTCCCGTTTCCGTCGTAACCACCATCGATTGTCCGCACCGACCCGTCGCCGGCACCACCTTGTGGTGAGCCTCTTGTTCTTATCTTTATTATATAAAAAAAATCATGTTTGTGTGATTTAGATATATAGTTACTTGTATAATTATCTTACCCGTACGTTGTTTGTTATACATAGTGCCATGGTTTTGATATCCGTCCCTGTCGGCCCTCGTCCGTGTTATGATTCGGATGTGGTATATTCTCTTTTAAAACTATTTGTTGCATTTCGTGTTTATGACAAATTGTGCCCATCAAGTTGACATAGATATTTTTATCTAGGAGGTATGTGAACCGGAAATTCCAACCGACCCTATTGTCGAGAGGTTAAATGTAGTTGAAAGAGAAAACGAGTATTTGAAAGAAAAATTGAAAAGAATTAAGGGGGAGAAGATGGAATTAGAGTTGCATGTTGCTGATGTCATCGATGATCACAAGATCAAGATGGAGAAAATGCGGTTGAAGATTAGAAAGATTAGAAAATATGCCATTGATAGTGTGGCTTGGTATCATTATGCCGTTGGATCAATTGTTACCTTAGTTGCTATCTTGATTGCATTTGTTGTTGCATTTAAATTCTTTAGCTAGAGAGTTATTTGTATGTTGCATTTAAGTGTTGTATGAACTTGTATTAATTTGGTCTATTCGGTGGTGTGTAATGAAGATGCGCCGGCAATGGATGTACGATGACCGATGCTCTCCCCAGTTCATTGATGGCATGCATACTTTTCTGATTGTGGCTCAGGCAAACAAGCAGGCGGATGATTTTATGCCTTGTACATGTGCTGGCTGTAAGAATGGTCACAATTACTCTAACTCAAGAACCATTCACGTCCACCTGTTTGAGTCCGGTTTCATGCCCCACTATAATGTTTGGACCAAGCACGGAGAAGGAGGGGTTTTGATGGAAGACAATGAAGGAGAAGAGGACGACAATAGCTATCCTGGCCATGGGTTCCATGAATACGATGATACAACAATGGGGAAAGAAGCTGAGCCGGCCATGCGGGAAGAAGCTGAAGAAGAGGCATCAGCTGAGCCCCCTGATGATCTAGGTCGGGCCATTGCCGATGCAAAGAGAAACTGCACAAGTGAAAAGGAGAAGAAGAAGTTGCAGCACATGTTAGAGGATCACAAGAAATTGTTGTACCCGAATTGTGAAGGTGACAAGAAAAAGATGGGCACCACACTGGAATTGCTGCAATGGAAGGAAGAGAATGGTCTATCTGACAAGGGATTTGGAACGTTGCTTGTAATGATAAAGAATATGCTTCCAAAGGACAACGAATTGCCCG